CAGCCCAGCACCGCTGGGGACAGCCGGGCACAGCCTGGCACCGCACAGCAAAGCCCAGTAGAGCCTGGAACCGCCGAGCTCAGCACGGTACCGCCTGGCATGGCCCGGCAAAGCCCAACACTGCCTGGTGCTGCCGAAAACTCCCCGTCGAGTCACCAAAAATACAAGCCCAGCGCGGCCCAGCAGGGCCATGTCCTGCCTCGCACAGGACACCGACAGCATCCAGCACAGCCTGGAAAAGGCCAGCACCACCCAACAGAGCCCGGTCCATCCCGAAAAAACCCACAGCAGCCCCCTAAACACCCACCTGCCTTGAAAGAGGGCAAAACAGCCTAGAAGAGTCCCCCCAAAGCCTCCAAAGGCCTCAAACGGCCCAGCGCAGGCCTGAGCAGCCCCCTTTCTTATGGAAGGAGAGCTGGAAAAAAATGGGAAAAAAAAAAAAAAAACATTTCTCCAAATAGCCCAGAAGGGCCCAGTACTACCTAGAACATCCCAGAACAGATACAAATAGTGCAAAACAGCCCAGTTCACCTGAACACACTCCCCTCAAAACGAACAAGCAAACAAAAACCTCAAAAGCCCCAAAAGAACCACAAATATCTCCCCAAATCACTAACAGCCCTCAAAAGAACTCCCCCCAAAGATCTCTCCAAAACGCAAACGAGTCTGAAAAAAAAAAGCCAACACGACCACAACCCTGAATAAAATAAAATAAAATAAAAACCAGCAAAGCCCAGCAACCTGGCACAACCAGGAAGAGCCCAAACAGCTCCACATAGTCTGACATAGGCAAACTTAGGCAAACTCGACACCCACAAACCCATGGATCCTGATGGGATGAACCTGCAAGTGCTGAGGGAGCTGGTGGACATCAATCATGTTTGAAAGGACAAGGAGAATGGGAGAGGTGCCTGCGGACTGGAAAAAAGCCAATGCCATGGCAGTCTTCAGGAAGGAGAACCCAGGGAACTAGAGAGCGGCCAGCCTCATCTGCATCCCTGGAAAGGTGATGGAGCAGCTCATCCTGTTCATCATGGCTACGCATGTGGAAGACAAGAAGGTGATGAGGAGTAGTCAGCATGGCTTCACCAAGGGACAATCACGTTTAACCAATCTGGCAGCTTTCTACACCAAGCCAACCGTGCATGTTGTCTGCCTTGACTCTGTGAATGCTTTTGGCACTGACTCCCATCACATCCACACAGGCAAGTCTGGGACGTGCGGGCTGGATGAGCAGACAGTGAGGTAGACTGAGGACTGGAAGAGAGGCAGAGCTCAGAAGCTTATGGTGCCATCTGTTTGGAGACATGAAGCCAGCGGTGTCCCCCAGGGGACAGTGCCAGGTCTAGTCTGGTTCAGCCCATTCGTCAGTGGTCTGCACGAAGGGACAGAAGGCACTGTCAGCAAGTTTGCTGGTTGTGCAAAGCTGGGAGGAATGGCCGATACACCTGAAGGCTGTGCTGCCATCCAGGGGGACCTGGAGAGGCTGGAAAAGGCTGAGAGAGACTGAGAAGAACTGGAAAGCAGCTCTATGGAGAAGGGCCTGGGAATCCTGGTGAACAACAAGCTATAGCCTGGGTTGCATTAGGCAGAGCATTGCCAGCAGGTGGAGGGAGGTGATCACAGAACGTCTGAATTTGGAAGGGGCCTCTGGAGATCGTCTTGTTCAACCTACACCTCCTCCAGCGGGGTCACCTCGAGTACATTGCACAGGATCATGTTCAGGCAGGTTCTGAATATCTCGAAGGAAGGAAACTCCACAACCTCTTTGGGCAGCTTGTCCCAGTGCTATGTTATGCTCACATTAAATAAGTTTTTCTTCAAATTCAGATGGAATTTCCTGTGTTTCAGTTTGTGGCTGTTGCCTCTTGTCCTGTCACTGGCCAGCACTGACAAGAGCCTGGCCCCATCCTCTTGACCCCCTCCCTTCAGATATTTGTACACACTGGCAAGGGTCCCCCTCCGCCTTCTTCCAGGCTGAGCAGACCCAGGTCCCTCAGCCTGTCCTCACAGGAGAGATGCTCCAGGTCCCCGATCATCTCGGTAGCCCTGCGCTGGCCTCTCTCCAGTAGCTCCATGTCCCTCTTGTGCTGGGGAGCCCAGCACTGGACACAGCAGTGCAGACGTGGCCTCACCAGGGCTGAGCAGAGGGGCAGCATCACCTCCCTTCACCTGCTGGCAACGCTCTTCTCAATGCAGCCCAGGACCCCATTTTCTTTCTCGGCTACAAGGGCACATTGGTGGTTCATGCTTGCTCAGGACTCCCAGGTCCTTTCCTGCAGAGCTGCTCTCCAGTAGGTCAGCTTGCAGGCTGTCCTAGTGCATGGGGCTATATCCTTCATCTCTAAGCCCTGATAAGGTCAAATCTGGAGTTCTGGGTCCATTTGTGGGCTCCCCAATAGCAGAGACATGGAGCTACTGGAGAGGGTCCAGCGGAGGGCTACTAAGATGATGAAGGGCCTAAAGCAGCTCTCTTATGAGGAGAGGCCGAGGGAGCTGAGGCACTTCAGCCCCGAGAAGAAGATGCTGAGGGGGCATCTTATTAAAGTGTTTATGCATCTGAAGGGAGGGGGCAGTGAGGATGGGGCCAGACTTGCTTCAGAGGTGCCCAAGGACAGGAGGAGAAGCAGCGGGCACAAACTGGAACGCAGCTGAAGAGACTGAAAAATGTACTCGTCCAATCACCTACGGTCGTACTCGATGAACTTGAAGGTCTTTTCCAACCATAATGGTTCTGTGGCACAAAGTGAAACACGGGAAGCTCTGTCTGAACAGGAGGAAACAGTCGCTTCCCGTGACGGGGACTGAGCCCTGGGCCAGGTTGTCCCAAGAGTCTCCATCGCATCCAGGAGTGGGGAAAGGCCTGGGGCAGCAGGGCGGGCTGGGGAGG